AGGCAGACACACTCTCTCCCCCTCACACACACACACACACACACACACACACACACACACACACACACACACACACACACACACACACACACACACACACACACACACACACACACACACACACATGATCATCTCTGTGACTCAGTCTTTCAGCCAAATCCCTCTCCTCCCACCTGTCTGTCACTCTCAGACTCAAACACACACAGGCCGTACCTCCTGTCCGGAGACGCTCGTGTAGTCGAGTGCCGGGGTCTTCAGCGTCAGCCGGACTTCTTTGCGGTGGTCTTGAATCTCGTTGATGACAGTCTGGATCTGCTCCCTCCTCTCCTGCAGCACTGGGAAGCCGGACAGATCTGAGAACAGCTCTGTCTTATTCCCCGACCTCCACAAATACAGAAAAACAGAATCCAAATGTGACAGCAGTAACAGTTAATAGTACGCATGTTTAGCAGGATAGACACACAATACCGGAGAGTTTCTAAGACATTAAACATTTTGGTCAGTCCACCTCTTCAGCAGTGTTGGTACTTTGATGTTTTTCAGATTTTCATATAACTTGATAAAACTAATTATAGATTTACCCATATACAAAAGTGTTTAGCAATCAAACTTTTTGGAGTTAGCGATTACATAAAATTAGTCCAATATAGAAGAGGCAAATAGACCAATTCCTCCATTTACAGAGAATTCGTTTTTTTATTTAAAACATCTTTAAGAAACCAAGTTTTTTTCAGTTGTATTTAATTGAAGCATGAACATGTTCTATATAATGTTCTAGCATAATTTCTCCTTTAAATGTATAGATTAATCCTCAAAGCAAAAAGGCAATTAAATAAAATGTATTGTCCTGATTGACCATCGCCATTTGTTAGGATCATTCAAAAGCTTAAAGGTCCCATGTCATGCTTTTCCGGTTATTACCCGTCCCCTTTTGTGTTATGAAGGTTTTTCTTCATGTAAACGGTCTGCAGAGTCAAACACCCTCAAAGTACACCCTGTAGCGAGTAAAACTCTAACACAGAAAAGGCCTGTCTATGCTGCCCCAGAATGCCTCGTTGGAGATTTCTCTTTTTCCATTGTTTTCTTTCTGGGTATAGTGACGTATTTGGTTATAGTGACGTAACGTAACGTAAAGAGCCGTTACGTTACGTCCGCGGAGCCGTTGCGTTAAGTCCGTGGATTGGTCCATTTGGACCAATCCACGGACTTTGGACTTTGGACTTCCTCACACACACACACACTCAATCTTTTCTCAGCTGCAGCTCTGCTGATTTCTCCGCCTGAGACGGTGGGACGTTACGAGGCTGCGAGTGTGTGTGTGTGTGTGTGTGTGTGTGTGTGTGTGTGTGTGTGTGTGTGTGTGTGTGTGTGTGTGTGTGTGTGTGTGTGTGTGTGTGTGTGTGCTCGGGCTGGTTTCGGGCTGGGTTTCGCTGTGTCTTGCTGTCTCGCAGACAGCCACTGGGCTCACAGGGAGGGGGGGGCAGGATCTCCAACAAGCCGTTTAGGACAGAGAGTGAATATACATACTTTACAGAGATGCTGTATGAGAAACCAATGTGAGTTTGGAAAATTGCACAATATAAATCTATTTTAGTATACCTCAACAATGGAATTATGATCAGTAGAAATGGCCATGACATGGGACCTTTAAGACTTTCACACAAAACTTTGTTAAGCAACAGTAAGTAATCTGCTCTAAAAATGCATCACTTATACATGAAAGTGTTTTGTTTAAGGCCATTGGTTTTCTGTATTATCTCAATACTTTGTTTGTATTGCTGCTCGTGCATAGTACTTTGTCCCTCCTCTTTCACTAACAAATAATTTTGTTTCATGCTGCTGGATACTCACTTGGCAGCCTTTTCATTGAGCACCTTGAGGTGGCTGTGGGCGGGAGCCAGCAGGTCAGGAGTGTCCAATAGGAGGCCTCGGAGGAGCGCAGAGCTGATCTGTGATTGGATAGCTGGGAGCAAGGCCTGCAGTTCCAGCCCCAGGCGGGAGAGACCACTGCTAATGAGGTAAAACTCCTGCGTGGAACACTGGAACACACACAGTTATGCATTACTTTTGATGAAGATAAATGTTTGAGCAATCTTTGGTCGACGTTGGAAAAAATGACTATATATTGGAAATAGCATCTTTATTCTCCAACAAAATACTAGCTATTTTGATCTGTTTCCCTCTGTGAATGTTTGTGTGTGTTGTGTTACTGGGGGAGTCTGCAAGTCAGAAAGATTAGATCTCTAAATCTCGTCAGCGATGGGTCTGGCAGCAAAGCTTAAAGAGAGACGAACTATTACAGCCAACGCTCTGAGAAACACTATCATTAGCAGCAGCACAGTCTGCAAGTCTTTAGAAAAAGCTAAAATCGCAGCCATTCACTGCATTACATGTGAGACAAATGTCATTAAAATGCATCTCCAAGATGATTTAGTCTGAACTTTTAAAAGTTATTGATATCTTACATCATTTAAGATATTCCAACAAGAAATATTTGTTAATGGAAACTTTAAAGGTGGAGTATGTGATTCTGGAGAAAGATTGGCTCGATTTGACAAAAAGTGTATTGGATTAAAAGCGCAGACTGCTCCTTATAAAAAGACGATGAACAAAGGTACTAAATATTTATTTAATTTTGTCTGTATTTGAGCTCTTCTAGTGATTGCTGACAATCCACAACATAAGAAACACAGCTGTCCTTTATCTCAAACATAGTAGCTTTATGTCTCTTTTGCGTCAATGTTGCAGCTTTAAACATAAAACCGAATATGAATTACGATACAATCAAGGTAATGTTTAATCAATGCTCAGAACATAGCTAATATTTCCGATTTTATCGACTTCAAATGGCCATTAGTGACTTCAGAGTATCGTACCAAGTGCTGAAAGGTTAATGGGCGTCACACTGACAGTGGTTTATGGCATTAATCACATGCTGCAGTTCTAATGGTCCCCCATGTCAGCAGCCCCCAAGATGCTCTTTTATGAACCCATAGAGCGACTGGAGACTAGGAGCATGCCCTCCCTCCCATTATGTCAATGGAGCCATAGAGACACAGACCATTACACACAGCCACATCTATCTACACACGTGTGTGTGTGTGTGTGTGTGTGTGTGTGTGTGTGTGTGTGTGTGTGTGTGTGTGTGTGTGTGTGTGTGTGTGTGTGTTCTCATTTGATCGTTTTCTTTTAACAATATATAAAAAGGAGCCAGAAGAGTTGAACATGAACTCAGATCAAAGTGACCCTCTCATCACACACACTCTCATCACACACACACACACACACACACACACACACACACACACACACACACACACAAAAGAGCCATCTGACATTTCAAAAATGGATCCGATGGGAAATGAGATTGTGTGAGACAATCAGGTAAGTGCCAATGAGGTGACTGCTCTCTGCTGTTAATCAAGATGCATGTCATAAAAAGAGAGAGAAAGAAAGAGATAGAGAGCAAGAGAAAGAGAAAAAGGGGGTGACGGAGTCGGGGAGAGAACATTTTATTGGTTTTCATTTGTATGCATAACGTCCAGGAAAAGGAGGTCTGCTCTTCTTGATGCCTTTGCCAGATTTTTGTAGTTGTGATCCTTTTCTCTAACGGTTTTGATCTGTGTCACAACGCTAACAGATGCTGTGTTAATGATAACCAGTTGTAGAAAAAACAATATGATCAGTGGGGCAAAAGATGAGTCTGTTCCTTTTATTGCATTTTACCTTTTTGTGGTAAATGCTACAGATGCCTCTTTCCAAATCGGGCAGATGTGACAGCAGGGATTTGATGGAACTTAGAGTGAGGGAGGGCGACTCCAGGATCTCCTGCACAGCATCCTGCCTCTCTGAGAGAGACCTGTTCATGGGGGAAAAGACAGAAGGAAAGCAGAGAGGCAGATCAGACACAAAATCAGAGAGTTTATAGAAAAGATGGAATTCAAATATTCAAAGATATAAAAATGTTCATCAATCAAATTTTGGGGAGCTGAATTAGACTTGATTGAAAGGCAGTGTAACTTTGAATTTAGAGCAATTAACTTCACAAATTATGTTCATGTTCTTAGATTTACCAGTTTCCTGAACTAATTGAAGCCAACCAGCTTTGAATGTAGCGATTACAGTATCTTTGGGTTATCTTTTCTGGAGATGGATTTCATGTGTATTACTGTAGTATTTAATGTGTTTATGACTTTAAGAAAAATAATAACCTAGGTCACATTTTAGTATTTTTCAAGAAATAGTATTTGGTGTTAATACCATTAATTTAACTTGTATCCAAATGGCCCATAACCTGGAAAGTGTCATTGTGCCAAAGACACAAAGGTTACAAATTAATATTATGAAAAACATAGTCTGAAAAAAGCAGATAAAATAAGGCTTGGTTGTCATGTGCTGCTGCCCTGTGTGCCTTGGATTTCGTGTGACTGCGTGTAATCTGGGTTTTATACATGTTTAAATTCTGTAGAGGAGCTATCTGTATAATCTGAGGGCAGTGCCCAATCCCCAACTGTAATCCCTGCACTGTGGGAGAGAGAGGGACAAACACACACACACACAAAATACCAACACAATATCCAAATATGGATAATAGAATTACGTTGCAGAGAAGAGAAGTGGAACGGTACTGCAATAAATTAACTCAGAGATGTTTGTAGAAAAAGTGTTGCGTGTACATTTCTGTATTTGTATTTAATGACATCACCCCCTGAACATTTTTTAAGGGTTTTCGCAGAGCGGTTGTTCCTCTTTTAAGAAACACTGCTCAACTGGTTGAACAATAAGTAAATGTTCAGATGATGAACGCTGTCTTAAGTTCTCTAGAACATCCTTGTGCTACACTGACTTTTAATTAAAGGAATTATTCAAAGGATGGTAAACAGCTTTGGAATAATGCTGCATTCATGTCATATCAAGATACAATCACAATCATTTTAAATCATAATGATAGGGATATTCATTTTTTTTCTTCAAATTAAAACATTTCCTATTGGAGCTCAATAATGCAGAAGTGACTCAAAGACATGTGTCGTTCCAAGTAATTAAACCTAAAATGATTGCAAACAATGTTATATTGTCCATATACAATAGTATATATGCTATGTATATATATGTAGGCTGTGTATTGGCAAAAATCTGTCAATATTTATTTATGTCAAGATACAGGGGTTACGATTTATTATATTACAATACCGTAAGCATATATTGTGGTAATTAAAAAAACAGGCCATATGCATTCAATCCGAATAAAAATTGTGTTATGCAAACAGCATAGTGGAATCTGCATTTGTATTTGTTAAAGTCCCTGTAACATCAAAATCATAGAATTGTTTTAACATACTGAGCTACCGTCTACAACAAATGTTTGCATGTTGACTAGTATTAACTAAAACAAAATGTGTTATTATTCTGTTTTGAGAATCAATTCAGTATCTCAAAACATAAAACAATAACACAATATCACAACACCTAAGTGGATTGATATTTTCTTGCACTCCTACAATACACATTATTTTTAACCTACACCAGTGAAGATGATAAACATTGTAGTCTTTCACATCTGTTGCTCAGGACTATTCTTTCAGTGAAAGCATAGGAAAAAAGCACTAGGAAGACGAAATCCTAGGGTTCAGATTTATTTTGGGGCACTGTGAAACTGAATGTCAAGCCTAGATAAGCTCCTTTAGAGGACAGAGGGTCTCCTGTACTCACTGCGGGTGTGTGAGGGGCTGGCTCACCCAATTCCTCATCAGTCTCTTCCCAAAGGAAGTGCGAGTGTGGTCCAACACCCACAACAGACTGCCCTTCAGCCCGCCATCTGTCTGTCACCCAAAGACCGGGCACAAACACAAAACAGACGACTTCATTTGACTGTGACACAGGAAGGATAATAACATGAAGTAATAGATATGGGCAGGTGAGGGAAGCCTTAAGTAGCCAGGTGAGGAGGTTTGAACTCAGCTTGAACTCCATGTGTGACAAACATGCCACAGCAGCAGAGTCGTGCTGAACTTTTGAGCCGTCGCCCACGCAAGTCTGAACAGTCACTGAACATTTTCTTGTGATCGGAGAAACAACAATTTAACTCATCCATTACATTACAGTGTGCAACGACGCTGGCAGCTGATTTTTTCAACGTGTACAGACATCATGTGGACAGTCTTGACATATAAAAAGTATTTGCACTAGAAGGTGGCCATCCAGCCGGTAAGCTGCATGACATTTCTAGCTAGGCGGCTGTCAACACCCTTGTTGCTTGATAAAAATGGAAAACTCTCTCTACTCTCCAGGCTTTTTTTACTGAGGTAAATGTTACAAAAATAATGTTGAAGTTTGTTAAATACTACAACTCTACAGTAAATGATTCCTGACATGCACCTGTTCAGCTGTCTGTTTCGTGACCTTGCTCTAGCCAGATCAATAGACCTGCATATTTTATATTTATACTTGTTTAGAAATTGGGCTCATTGAGACAAAACTCTACACACAACCCAAATTAGAAACAACAATTACAGAGGAACATCCAACTTCTATGTCAAAATGAACTCAACACTGCAATATGTCATTTGTGATGCACACAGTAGGCATTTGAATGATGCACTTAAAGCAGCTGCTAGATACACTAATGTACTTGTATTCCTTCATTTTTTTATTATACAGGCTCGGTGAAACATTCCAGTAAACTATTTCTACTTATTTCAATGAACAAAACGTTTGTTTGTGTACCTTTGGTGCCTTTGTTTCAGGCATGGTTACAAACATTACGTTTTTGTCTCAGCATTAACTTTCAGTGTATTGGCAATCGTCAGAGAGAGAGCACAACTGAACTCATAGTCCCTACAGACTTGACCTTACTTGATTAGAGACACTGTACTTTGACTCAAACAAAACACATAAATGCCTTTCTGTCTGAATGCTGACTTTAGCATAGTAAAATGCTCCATATGACTATTGTTATTAACACTCTAATGTTTAGCAGGTATTCTGTTAACATGTTCTCTTCTTAGTTTAGCATGTTACATTGCTAACATCTGCTCATCAGCCAAAAACACAAAGCACAGCTAAGGCTGAGGGGAATGTCATCAATATCGGACAAAGTCAAATTTCAAAATTGGGACAATGCCAGATATGGGGTTAATTCATCGTGAGGGGGATAGAGTACACAGGATAACATTGAATATTTGTACAAACATTTTACAAAATGTATGATTTGAATTGAATTGAGAGCTTAAATGTATGGAACTCACTGACCTTTGAGGTGCTCTTTCATGCCTTTCCATAACACATTAGAAACCTGACTTAAGACTTGAAAACAGTCCTGGCTTCAGCCAACTTAATTAAAAAAGCACATTTGTCGTTACTAGCTAGAGACAAAGTGTGCATGTTTCTGCTTAGTAATTATACACAAGAGGATTATAAAGTATGTTGCCGTGTGAACCATTTATCATCCTGACTGAGTACACCCCTTCATTACACTAACTGCCAGCAGAGATGCGTCTTCACCTGATTGTTTAGGATCTCCAGGTTCCTGAGGGTGGCCGCACCGAGGATCATACCCTCCGACTCACAGGACAGACGCCGAAATGAGCTGCGTGGAGCAAGAAATCATATTTAAATACAGCTGCATGATATAATCATCCATGTAGCAATACAATTTATGTTTAATAGTGAAGACTAGAATGTTAAAATTGTTTTCTTTAACTTAAATCAGAGCAATTTTAGGAAAAAGTAACTGCTCTTTCTTCTTGGATTGTAAATCGAGGTCACCCCAAAATGTTGTACTGGTATAAAGGAGAAAATATGGATATTAACTCAAGTCTGAAATAAGTTTCAAAAAACATTGTGGTATATATATTATTTTCCCTATCTATTACGTTAGCTTAATCTTTTTGAAATATATACTGTAAGTTAAGTCAATGAAAGTCCAAAACCCAAGGTCACTTTCCAAACAGTCTCAAGGAGGCAAGAGTAAACCCTCTCCTAAAGAAACCCACTCTCAACCCATCTAATGTTATAAACTACAGGCCTGTCTCTCTCCTCCCGTTCCTGTCTAAAACATTTGAACGCGTCTTTAAACAACTCTCCTGTTATTTCCATCAGAACAACCTTCTGGATCCGCACCAGTCTGGTTTCAAGGCAGGTCACTCAACAGAAACTGCCCTCCTTGCTGTCACTGAGGAACTGCACACTGCTAAAGCAGCATCCCTCTCCTCTGTCATCATCCTTTTGGACCTATCTGCTGCATTCGACACGGTGAATCATCAGATCCTCCTTCGCACTCTCCAAGAACTTGGAGTTTCAGACTCGGCACTTTCCCTCCTCACCAAAGACCGCACCTACAGGGTAACTTTGAGAGGGTCCGAGTCCGACCCTTGTCAATTAACTACAGGGGTCCCTCAGGGCTCTGTTCTTGGTCCCCTCCTCTTCTCCTTGTACACAAACTCGCTCGGATGTGTCATTAGCCCGCATGGTTTTTCATACCACTGCTACGCTGACGACACCCAATTAATTCTGTCCTTTCCCCGCTCAGAGACCCAGGTCGTCGCACGCATCTCTGCTTGTCTAGCTGACATCTCTCAGTGGATGTCTGCTCACCACCTCAAGCTCAACCTTGACAAGACTGAACTGCTTTTCCTTCCGGGAAAAGATTGTCCCACTCTTGACCTAACAATCAACATCGGCACCTCTATTGTTTCCCCGACTCAGACTGCAAGGAATCTGGGTGTGATCCTAGATAACAAACTGTCCTTCACTGCAAACATCGCTGCTACAACCCGCTGCTGCAGAAACACGCTTTACAACATCAGGAGGATACGTCCCCAGCTGACCCAGAAAGCGACGCAGGTTCTGGTCCAGGCTTTCGTCATCTCATGCCTAGACTACTGCAACTCCCTCCTGGCTGGTCTACCTGCATGTGCCATCCGACTTCTGCAGCTCATCCAGAATGCAGCGGCTCGTTTGGTCTTCAACCTTCCTAAATTCTCCCACACCACGCCGCTCCTCCGCTCCCTTCACTGGCTTCCAGTAACTGCTAGAATCCACTTCAAGACAATGGTACTTGCGTACCATGCTGCGAATGGATCTGGCCCTTCCTACATCCAGGACATGGTTAAACCGTACACCCCAGCACGTGCACTCCGCTCTGCATCAGCCAAACAGCAAAAACGACGTTGGTTTGCCTATCCTGCTCCAAAAATTGTGGAATGACAGTCCACCATTGACATCAGACAGCAGAAAGCTTACACATCTTCCGGCGCAGACCTGCGAAAACTCATCTCTTCGACTCCATTCGACGACTAAGAACTAGCTTAACCAAAGCATTATAACTAAATAAAGGACTGGCTTTATCTAAAGCCAGTGAGTAGCAATTGAAGTGTTTAGCTCTAGAACACCTGGTGTACTTATATGATTCTGTTTTCTTCAAGTTTGTATTTTTGTGGTCGACGCACCTTATTGTGAAGTCGCTTTGATATCAAGCGTCAGCTTAAATGCATGTAATGTAATGAGCATGGTATGATTAGCTGTGATATTTTTAGCAATCAACAATAAATCAGTTATGACATCTTCTCTTGCTTTTAATTGCGAGTCGCAACGCACTTGGAGCATTATCGCTCTAATGACATCATTACGCGACCCAGAATGGGACCTGGGATTTTTAGTCTTTCTAGTTGCGGTTTTTCATGAGTCTTATATTTCACACAATTTAAGTGTATTATTATTGAATTGTGCCAACGAATTACACATATGATGTTTGTCAATCTTAAAAAATCATTCCATGTCAAAAAAGTCCACAGTTTGTCGTAAACTGTTGAAATATAAGACTATGAAAGTATTTTGCGAGCATAGCTACAGAATTCCCCAGAGTCGCGCGCCAAGTGATGTTCATAACTGATTGTCACAATTGTTTTCCTCCACTAATAGATAAGAGATAGATAAGATTATATTGTCAACGGTAAAGATGCCCGTGGATCCCAGACCCGCAGGTGATATCATCAGCCTATTCAAGCCCAAAATGGGTCTTACTCGTCTCTTTATGCTCGCTTGACACCCACGACCGTGGCTGATGCAAAGGACAGCAGGGAGTGGGTGTGGATCACAAGCCTTAGCTACTAGCTAGTAGCCCACCGCACGTTAGTCTATGGCCGCACAGTCCTTATTCGGGGAAAGACTGTACTTTATTGGGCTATCCGCGTGGCCGCGAAGTCAAGAGAAGAGAAAGCGAAAAAATTTCATCTTTCGACGTCACGGGCCGTTTGAGTCTGTCCACGAATTACCCCACCATAGCCTCAGGAATGCTTCGTCGGCAAGAGTCGCTCCTAACAGTATAATGTTTGACCAGCGTCAACCAGCCACAAAAAACCACATTTCTTCTGTGAAACGTCAATGAACTCACACGCCGTCTGGTTTCTGAGCACAAACAACAAACGTCACCAAGAAGGCCGTCACTACTGTTTACTAAACAAGGATTGACTACCCTCACTCTATCACCACAATGAACACGGTCAGAAGAATATGTCATGCAAAGCTGCCCGCCTGCCTGCTTCCTTCCTTTGCATTCTCTTCGACTGCCTGATCTTTAATGTTTTAAATCGTCAACCATTTGTGCAGATAGCAAGAAGTAGAAAGAGGTCGCCCAAGCTAATGTATCGCGTTAGCGTTACGATTTCTCCCACCGGGGCTAAAATGGTGTTTTATAGAATGATCAGCGAGGGGTGGGGGGGCGGGTGTTTTTTGCTGTTGATTGTTTTTGTGTTTTTTGTTTCTTTTTGTTGTTGTTTGGTGTCTGTCTTTGTTTTTTTTTTTTGTTGCCCTTTGTTTGTTTGACAGGTTACGTTGCTTCCATATGTGAGGGTTCTTCAGTCTTTTGTAAATTATGTGGACATACTACTTCTGTCTACTCGTGTTGATGTTGAGCTCAGTTTTTGTTGGTTTTTTTTGTGGGGTTATCTAATGTTTCTTCATTGTACCTTGGACTAATTATATAATATGACTAAGTGCTATGTATTGGTGTAATTTGCTAACGTAACCGTGCTGCGTTACTGTAAGTCTAGTAGTGTTCTAACTTGATCCGTCAGGGTTCCACCTCCTTGTCCTTTCATCTGAGACGTCGGAAGCGAAAGAACGAGGTAACTATCTCTCTTTGCTGATATTGTGATAGTTTTCAACGCTGGTATCTTTGACATCACGGCTTTTTTCGTTTGTTGTAAGTGTGATTTTATTCTTTATCTATCTCTTATATTCTTTATGTGGAGGTAATCATGCAATTGGTTTTGACATACATGTTTTATTTTGACATTCTTACTTTTATCGCTGATCTTGTCTGATCTTTTTCTATTTCCTATGTATATTTGAAAAAATTTTTATTTCTTTCATACGTGCTGTTATATTGTGTCGATACAGTTTTTATACTGACAAATTCTGTGTGGACTTGTTTTGATAAATGATATTATTTTGTTTTTATAGTATTTTGGACAATACATTTTTCATTATTGGTCGTTTTATTTAGTTCTGTTGTTTGTTTTGGGCATCAATTCAATTTAATATTATTTTTATCTATAGTATAAATTGTTTTGGTTGTAATTTGATTGTTATTGCTTTTTGTTGGATTCTAGAAGGGTCGCAAGGATCATCTGATCTTAAGGAAACGGACTTACATCAAATCTTCCTATGATTCCATTTTTCCTGGGTTTCTGCGTGACCACGTTTCGAGTGGTCGCTATTGGTCAGGCGAGTAAGTTGCGCGCTTCAAGTTGCGGTTCTGCGACTTTCGCAATTTATATTTCGCATTCGCAAAGCGTAAGAACTGTTCATGTTTTGTGTTCGATTATCTACTGTGATTTGATTGTGTGATTTGATGCAAAGTTAGGATGTCATGTTGAAGTTTTTTTTTCATCGTGATTTCCTCTGCTCATTACGATTGATCATTTTTTGCTCATTTTTAGTGCTTGACGCTGTTTATCGCAATTTCAGCGAGCTTTACACAAATATTCGTTGTGTCGGCTTCTATGTCGTGTGTCTCTATACATATTAGATGATCAAATCTTGACAGTAATATACCAGGATCTATTGTTTTGATATATTGTTTTGTTCTTTTGTTTTTTTTGTGTGTTTTGAGTGTCCTATTTTTTTTGCTTAGTTGCGTTCTTGTGTTTTTTCGGGGCTGAGAATGAGAGAGAAGGCCTAAAACACCTTGAAGCTTGCGCTACTCAACCGGCTTTAGAGGAGGCAGCCAGTCTTTACTAGACTAGTAGAGAGCAAGGCGTCGCCTTTGTTTTATATGTCGCTATCGGCGTCAGATTGGAGTCGAGAAGCAGATGAGCGGGCGCGTCGCCGGTTTCAGTCTGCCGCCGGAAGATGTGTTAACCTCTCGCTGTCGTGATGTCAGATGGGGGAAGCTCATTCCACCATTTGAGAGCCAGCATAACGCACCAACCGCTGTTTTCTGCATGGAATTGCAGAGCAGCATTGCAATGCTGGGTGATACGATTTACACCATGTCCTGGAAATGTCAGGGCCAGATCCCATTCGAGCATGGTACGAAGTACCTATTGTCTTGGAAGTGGATTCTAGCAGTTACTGAACCCAGTGAAGGGAGCGGAGACGGCCGTGGTGTGGGAGAATATAGGAGGTGTGAAGACCAGAACGAGCATCTGCATTCTGGATGAGCTGCAGGGAGTCGGCATGCACATGCAGGTAGGCCCAGCCGGAAGGGAGATTGCGTAGTCCTAGCGGAGTATGACAAACTTGGACTCAGACCTGCGTCGCTTTCTGGGTCACTGGGACGTATTCTCCTGATGTTGTAAAAGAGTGTATCTCAGCAAGCGGTGTAACAGCTTATGATTTGCAGTGAAGGAGGTTTGTTATACAGGTCACACCCAGCAATCCTTCAGTCTGAGTAGGGGAACAATTAGAGGTCCGATGTTGATTGTTAGGTCAAGAGTGGACCAATCTTTTCCGGAAGAGATAAAGCAGTTCAGTCTGTCAAAGTTGAGCTTGAGGTGGTGATGACAGACATCACTGAGAGGATGTCAGCTAGACAAGCAAGAGATGTTGGACGACCTGGTTCTGAGCAGGGATAAAGACAGAATTAATTGGGTGTCGTCAGCCGTAGCAGTGGTATAAAAACCAGTGCGGGCTAATTGACTGATCCGAGCGAAGTTGTCGTGTGCAAGGAGAAGAGGAGGGACCAAGAACCAAAGCCCTGAGGGACCCCCTGTAGTTAAATGACAAGGGCGACTCCGACCCCTCCAGTTACCTGTAGGTGCGTCTTTGAGGATGAGTGGAGAGGAAAGGCAGAGCTAGAAACTGCCACAGTTCTTGAGACGTTGCGAAGGAGGATACTGATATTCAACGCATCGTTCTATCGCTCGTCTGATGAAAGGATCCAGGAGTCGCTTGGAGTCAAACATATCAGACGTAATATAACATATTTGCAT